TTTTTCTAAATCCAGCTTGAAGTTCACAGTTCACATACTGTTGAAGCCTGGCTTGGAGAATTTTGAGCATTTCTTTACTAGCGCATGAGATGAGTGCAATTGTGTGGTAGTTTGAGCATTCTTTGGCATTGCCTTTCTTTGGGATTGGAATGAAAACTGACCTTCTCCAGTCCTTTGGCCACTGCTGAGTTTTCCAAACCTGCTGGCACATTGAGTGCAGCACTTTCACAGCATCATCTTTCAGGATTTGAAATAGCTCAATTGGAATTCCATCACCTCCACTAGCTTTGTTCGTAGTGATGCTTTCTAAGGCCCACTTGACTTCACATTCCAGAATGTCTGGCTCTAGATGAGTGATCACACCACCGTGATTATCTGGATCATGAAGATATTTTTTGTACAGTTCTTCTGACAGAATGTGGTCTTGTACAGTTCTTCTGACAGAATGTGGTCCACTGGAGAAGGGAACGGCAAACCACTTCAGTATTCTTGCCTTGAGAACCCCATGAGCAGTATGAAAAGGCACAAAGTTAGGACACTGAAAGATGAACTCTGCAGGTCAGTAGGTGCCCAATATGCTACTGGAGATCAGTGGAGAAATAACTCCAGAAAGAATGAAGGGATGGAGCCAAAGCAAAAACAATACCCAGTTGTGGATGTGACTTGTGATAGAAGCAAGGTCCGATGCTGTAAAGAGCAATATTGCATAGGAACCTGGAATGTTAAGTCCATGAATCAAGGCAAATTGGAAGTGGTCAAACAGGAGATGGCAAGAGTGAACGTTGACATTCTAGGAATCGGCGAACTAAGATGGACTGGAATGGGTGAATTTAACTCAGATGACCATTATATCTACTACTGTGGGCAGGAATCCCTTAGAAGAAATGGAGTAGCCATCATAGTCAACAAAAGAGTCCGAAATGCAGTACTTGGATGCAATCTCAAAAACGACAGAATGATCTCTGTTCATTTCCAAGGTAAACCATTCAATATCACGGTAATCCAAGCCTATGCCCCAACCAGTAACGCTGAAGAAGCTGAATTTGAACGGTTCTATGAAGACCACAAGACCTTTTAGAACTAACACCCAAAAAAGATGTCCTTTTCATTATAGGGGACTGGAATGTAAAAGCAGGTAGTCAGGAAATACCTGGAGTAACAGGCAAATTTGGCCTTGGAGTACAGAATGAAGCAGGGCAAAGGCTAATAGAGTTCTCCCAAGAGAACGCACTGGTCATAGCAAACACCCTCTTCCAACAACACAAGAGAAGACTCTACACATGGACATCACCAGATGGTCAACACCGAAATCAGATTGATTATATTCTTTGCAGCCAAATATGGAGAAGCTCTATACAGTCAGCAAAAACAAGACTGGGAGCTGCCTGTGGCTCAGATCATGAACTCCTTATTGCCAAATTCAGACTGAAATTGAAGAAAGTAGGGAAAACCACTAGACCATTCAGGTATGACCTAAATCAAATCCCTTATGATTATACAATGGAAGTGAGAAATAGATTTAAGGGACTAGATCTGACAGAGTGCCTGATGAACTATGGATGGAGGTTCGTGACATTGTACAGGAGACAGGGATTAAGACCATCTCCATGGAAAAGAAATGCAAACAAGCAAAATGGTTGTCTGAGGAGGCCTTACAAATAGCTGTGAAAAGAAGAGAAGCAAAAAGAAAGGAGAAAAGGAAAGATATTCCCATCTGAATGCAGAGTTCCAAAGAATATCAAGGAGAGATAAGAAAGACTTCCTCAGTGATCAGTGCAAAGAAATAGAGGAAAACAACAGAATGGGAAAGACTAGAGATCTCTTCAAGAAAATCAGAGATACCAAGGGAACATTTCATGCCAAGACGGGCTCGATAAAGGACAGAAATGGTGTGGACCTAACAGAAGCTGAAGATAATAAGAAGAGGTGGCAAGAATACACAGAAGAACGCAATTGTAAGAGATCATTTTTCCTGAAGGGAGGCATCTGATACAGAACAAGGGTCTCAGGCCTGGTAAGGTCTAAATAGGGGCCCTGCTGGCCCCATGTGGATCTCTCCACTCAACTATGAGTGCCATGAAGGCAGAGATTGAGACTTGGTCCCCATGGTGGCCTGGCAGTGCTGGCACACAGCAAGCACTTAATAATTGTTTGTTGACCGACTGACTATCCAGTGAGTCGCTGGGTCTTCACAATCATATCTTACCTGCCTGGTGCATCATATGAGATGCTTGATAAACGGATGGCTGGAGGAAGGGTCAGAGGGCAGACTGACCGCGGTACTACTCTGGAAGCAGCAGCGCCACCTTGTGGCGTGATGCTTGCCTGCCTTTCCCTGTTCAGTAGAAAAGTCCTGGGAGTTTTCAGAACCTTTCCACTGGAAGGGAACTGAGAGGAGGAGGAGAAAGAGAAAGACGAGGAAGCAGGCAGTGATCTCAGAAACAAAGACCTTAGATCCAAACCCTGCAGGCATCCATTTTTGGCTGTGTGTCCCAGGGCTGATTACAACACCTCTTGAATCTTGTTTCCTCATCCAGAAAATGGGGACAATCAAAATCAGGCCGCTGAATAATGTAACAAAATTGCTCAGAAAACAGCAGCAATTTCTTACCTGCCACCCTAGGGCTCCTGGGAACAGGCGCTATCCTCAAAGAGCCTTCCACCCAAGGCTGGGAAGTGACAGCGTTTTCAGGAGGACAAGGCTGGAGCAGAGAAATGGACATGCGTTTGGGGGTAGGGTTGTCAGGTTCAGACAAAACAATAAAATAAATAGGATGCCCCACTTAATTTGAATTTTAGACCAACACTGAATAATTTTTTAGTATAAATAGATACAGGACTTCACAGAATACACTTAAACCCCCAAAAGGTATTTTTTTGTTGACCTGAAATTCAAATTTAATTGATCATTCTGTATTTTATGTGGCAACCTTAGCCTGGACGAGCCTGGGGAGGTGGGCAGGAAGAGGCTGTGGTGCTAAGAGCCCACGGTGTGGCCACCTTTCCTTCCCCTCCCCCACCCATGCGTGTGCTCTTGGCTGTGCTCACAAGAGACGGGAGGTGGAGACGGTCCCCATGCCAGGGTTGAAGATGTGGGACACAATCACCAAGACCTTATTTTCCAAATCCGAATTGAGTTACATCCCCTTGACCAGGGGTATTTTGGCCACATCCCAGCACTGAAGACCACTCAGAAGATGAAGGCTACCAGTCATACATATCTCCTGGTGACTTCCCAGCTGTGTGACCTTGGACAAATCACTTCATGTCTCTGAGCTCTGCCCACCCCAGACCCATTCTCCTCCAGCTCTCTCCCTCTCCTCACTCTGCCTCAGTCAAATCATTTTTAAAAATATTTATTTAATTAATTTATTTGGCTGTGCTGGGTCTTAGTTGTGGTATGTAGGATCTAGTTCCCTGACCAGGGATCAAACCCAGGCCCCCTGTATTGGGAGCACAAAGTTCTAGCCACTGGACCACCAGGGAAGTCCCTCCATCAGGTTTAACTGCACCTCCAATTCAAAGATCCGTCTAGTCAAAGCTATGGTTTTTCCAGTATTCACTACAGATGTCAGAGTTAGACCATAAAAAAGGCTGAGTGCCGAAGAATTGATGTTTTCGAACTGTGGTGTTGGAGAAGACTCTTGAGAGTCCCTTGGACAGTAAGAAGATCAAACCAGTCCATCCTAAAGGAAATCAACCCTGAGTACTCATTGGAAGGACTGATGCTGAAACTGAAACTCCAATACTTCAGCCACTTGATGCGAAGAGCTGACTCATTGGAAAAGACCCTGACGCTGGGAAAGACTGAAGGCAAGAGGAGGAGGGGGGCACAGAGGATGAGATGGTTGGATGGCATCACTGACTCAATGGACACGAGTTTGAGCTAACTCTGGGAGATAGTGAAGGATGGGGAAGCCTGGCGTGCTGCAGTCCATGGGGTTGCAAAGAGTCGGGACATGACTGAGCAACTGATCAACAACCACCACCAATTCACCAGGCATGGTCCGGCCTCAGGGCCTTTGCATGGGCTGTTTCTATCATCAGAGATCTCCCCAGATTTCTCTGTGGCTCCCTCCTCTCCTCCCTCCTTTCTATACTCAAATGGCCGTCTAAAAGGCCACCCCTGTCTACCTTATTAAAAAGTGCAGCCGCCACATTCTCAATCCCAGTCCTTTGCTTTTCTTAGTAGCATTTACCACCACCTGACCCATTGTGCATTCCACTCACTTATCTTGTTTATGGCCCATTCCCCACTGCGTGGTGAGCATCACAAGGCTGGAACCTGCCTTTTGCTCCCAGGCTCCCCGCGCCCAGCACAGCAGCTCAGGAAGAACTGTCGAATGAATGAGTAGGAAAACGAATGGATGGGGGGAGAAAGTATGCCACAAATATGAAATTTTTTTCTTTGATAATTTTATATACCTGATTTAATTATTCTGGGGATTCAGACTCAGAAATCTGACAAGTTGCATGTAGTTACTTAAATGTATGTTCAGTTTCTTGGTGTGCAATAGCCACATGGTGTCGGTGGCCACTATTCTGGGTGGCACAGAGTTCGAGAACATTCCCAAAATCTCTGAAAACTCTATCACACAGCTCCATTGATTTTCATTTGGTCAAATTTTTTAAGAGGAAGGACACGTTGTCTAAGTCCAGAATCCCCATGGATCTGTGAATACCTTGGAGTGTCTCCCTCAGGGTTAAAACTCTGCTCCCTGGAGGAAAGGCATGCTTACCTTCTGCCTGGTCCCTGGGGCCATCTGAGTTTGAGACCTTGGTTTATAGACGAAGAAAATAAAGGATTGGGGGACTGGTGGTGGGGTAGGGGAATCCAAATGATGCACCTTCAGGAGGGAGTAGATCCAGGAGTCAGAGATTCAAGGGTTGGCCCCTGCACTCTCCCTGGTTCCTGCTCTCTGGGCCTCGGCTTACTCAGCTGTAAAATGAGGTGATAAAGGGACACATAGTGTTGCGAGGATTGAGTGGCACGATACAGGTCAGGGCAAGTTGCTCATAATGCTAGATGGGGCCGGCTCCATCACCCTCGTTCGGAGGGGTCGGGATGGAGTGGTGGCGCCTGACATACGGGAGGCCTCACGCAATGATCTCTGAGTTCTCAGAGCCTCGATTGGGTAAGGACAGGGGACTCTAGGATCATCTCCCATCGCCGAGTTCCCACGGTCCCAGACGGGGAGGGGACTCTCCTGGGCTGGCTCCGGGGTCGTACGGGTGTCGCCAACTGGATGCACAGTCCGGAGGGTGCGCCCACGGCCGCCCTTGTCCAGCCTTTCCAGGACTTCAGTTGTGGCTCCAAAGTCCCAAGCCGGGCGAGGGGCGTGGCTTGGCGGCAGGCGGCCCCCAACCAGATTGGTCCTTCGACCCGTCAGTCCCAGGCGCCCGCCCCCAAATATAAACGCTGGTCTTGGTCCGGCCCAGGACGGTTTTGGAGCTGGCCTTGAAGTAGTGGTTGCTGCGTCCTGGACGTCCCGCTGACCGCGGTGAGAGGCGAGGGCCCCCGATTGAAGTGGGGACGGGGTCCAATGAGTCCTGGGGTGCCCTAAGGGAGGTAGGGACAGGGAGGGCCTTCCTGGGGACTCTGCTCGTCTCCGCGGCCTGGGGAGGGGTCTCCAGCCTGGGCTAAGCACTCTTCTTTCCCCAGAAAAATTCAACTTCTGGAACAGGCGTAGACTTTCAGACTTTCTTCTCTCAATATCTTGGACTCTGGGTGGTGGGGGGGGAAGCGCACGAAAGAGCACCTCAGAAGTGGCAGCTTGGGGCGGGGGGCTGTCCCCCGTCCCAAACCACATCCTCCTGCATTGCAGACGCACTTTGGAGACAAGCCGCAGCCTATTCCGCGTAGGAATTCTCCCCCAACCCCCACCAGGGGAGCAATCCCTCTGCCTAGCAAAGCCCCTCCTCTCCAAATGGTTTTGGCGCCTGGGGACTTGGCCCCTCCCTTGCCCTCCTTCTGGCACTCCAGCTGTCCCTGGGAGGGGGTGGGGCCAATCCCGCCCCCTTTTCCTGGGTGGGTGTGGCCAGTGGGTTGCACAACGTGGCGGTGGGAAGGCCTACCCCTTATCTGAGTCCTTGGGACTTCTGTAAAACCAGAGCCGAGGCTTGGGCTCTTCCTCAGGAGAACTCTGGAAGTTGGATCTTAGCATATCCTGGATGCAGCTGGACGGCTGCGTGACTCCCGTTTCAGCCAGTTCTTGCTCTCACAGCTGAGGCCCGCTGCAGGCTGGTTGCTGACCCCCAGGGACTTTTATGGGGGAGGGGGGTGTGATATCTGCAATGGCTGTCCTTGGTTAAACCGGTTCCAGAGGGATCAGATGGACAAAACGGATGGAAGGGAGGACCTGTGTGCTCTCCAGGTGAACTCAGACTCTGGGGAAGGTGAAGGGAAGAACAGGAGTCAGGTGATGGTCACCAGGGGTGGATGTGCCTCCTCGCCCCACTTCCCGGGTGGGGGACCTTTGTACCAAGCAGAAGCTCAATCCTGGCTGGTTTCACCAGTTTCTGTGTGGCAGACAGAGTGGTGTGAAATGGACCCATTTACTGAGCACCTACTATGTGCCAGGTCCCGCGCTAAGGCCGCACATGCAGTCTCTCCTCCAATCTGCAGGGACTCTGTGCTAGGAAAGGTTACCCCCATGTCATAGATGTGGGAAGTGAGGCTCCAAGAAGGGGTGTTGCCTTCCTAAGCTCCCACAGTTAGCAAGTTGCAGAGCCGGGATTAGAACCTAGTTTGGACACCAGAGCTGGTGCTCTCAAAACATCGATTTGCTGGGTTCCGCTCGTGCGTGTGCGAGCTGGGTCACTTCAGTCACGTCCAACTCTCTGTGACCCCGTGGACTGTAGCCCGCCAGGCTCCTTTGTCCATGGGATTCTCCAGGAGGAATACTGGAGCGGGTTCCTCCTCCAGGGGATCTTCCCAACCCACGGTTCAAATCCTCCTCTCTTATGTCTCCTGCCTTGGCAGGCAGGGTCTTTACCACTTCCCAGGTTCTGGGAATCCTGGGTTCCATTTAGGGAATGGCAAACACAATGTCTGGAAGATTCACCAGAGGCTTCTCCTAGAATGACCTTGGGGGTCATTCACTGGGTGGGACTTCTCTGGTGGTCCAGTGGTTAAGACTCTGAGCTTCCACTGCAAGGGGCACAGGTTTGATCCCTCGTCAGGGAACATGCAGTGTGGTATGACCAAAAAAAAAAAAAAGAAGCACTTGGGTAACCAGCCTTAAGGAAGGTTTAGCCTCATTTTACAGATAAGAAGACTGAGATTATCAGGTTATGAGGTTATCACTTACGAGGTTATCAGCTCCTTGCCCACTTGCCCAGCATAGGTGGGGCTGGGACTCTTGCAATCTAATCTGACAATGCTCTAGTTTTTTCACTTGGCCAGGAAAATGGAGCACACCTGTGGCTCCTATCTTGCCACAAATGTGTGCATTAGATTCACCCAGGGAACCTCTGTTTTGATTTCCCCACATCCCTGAGACTGACTTGATGGACCTGCACTGGGGCCAGGCATGGTCTCTCTAGCTTTTTTTTTTAAAACATTAACTTTTTTTTTGAACGGGTAACGTTATCTACTTGGCTCAAAAGTCAGAGGATTGCCCCAGCTACACGATCTTTCTTTCTTCCTGTGTCTCTTTAAAGATTTATAAGCAAAAACTTTATCCCCACTCACGCCCTTTGGTCACTTAACAATATCTTGTTGTGTTAGTTGCTCAGTAGTGTCCGACTCTTTTGCGACCCCAAGGACTGTAGCTCGCCAGGCTCCTCTGTCCATGGATTCTCCAGGCAAGAATACTAGAGTGGGTAGCCATTCCCTTTTCCAGGCATCTTCCCAGATATGGGCTGTGTCAATTATGTGTAAGTTTTACAGTCTTCAGCCACTGCCCTGGGCTACCACTGTTATCTATCTTTATTGCCCTTCTTCTCAGCAGCACAGGCACACACATCTCTGTCCACGTGGCAGTACCAGTGTGGACTGTCCCCGCAGTGAGGTTTCTGGGTCAAAGGGAAGATGTCTTGAAACCTAGTAGTAACTGACAACTTGCCAACTCCAGGGGTTTTGCACCATAATATTGATACAGGTGGGGCTTCCCAGGTGATTCAGCAGTAAATAATCTACATGCCAATGCAGGAGACTTGATCCCTGGGTGGGGAAGGTCCCTTGGAGGAGAAAATGGCAACCCACTCCAGTATTCTTGCCTGGGAAATCCCATGGACAGAGGAGCCTGGTGGGCTACAGTCCCCAGGGTCACAAAGAGTCAGACACGACTGAACGACTAAGCGACAACTGATACAGGTGAGCCCTTGGAGGGCTGTGCGCAGACCTTGCTCTTTAAGTTGTGGCCCCAAGACCAGCTGCTTCAGCAGCAGCTGGGAGCTTGTTGGAAATGCAGACTTCTGACCTGATGAATCAGCACCATTTTGAACAGGCTCACAAGTGCGTGTAATTGATCTAGAGGCAGAGTTCTAGGAAACTGGGGGGTGGCGGAGCCCTGAGGGCAGGTATGAACCGGGCCTTCCCCATGGAGGGAAGCAAGAGGCAGGCTGTACCCTGACTAGTCCTTCTGTCCACAGTGCGTGCTTCTGAGAAATGTCTGCTGACGAGCCTGAAGCCCCTGCCAGCACCCAGGTGACGGCGGCGGAACCGGTACAGCAGGTGAGGAAGGCCTAGGATCTGTGGGAGGAGCCTTCCCACACGGGGAGCTTTGGCAGGAGGCTGCTGGCAGCACAGGGGGGTCGAGTACTAGGCTCTAGCAGGTACCCCATTAACAGGCGAAGGTGGGAGAACTTGGGGTTCCAAGGGCTCTTGGGAGAACAGGGGTTCTCCTCTTTGAAACTGCCTGGCTCCCCCAGGCAGATCTTTCCTGTCTCTATAGGTTCTCTTAGAGTCCTCCTTCTAAGAAAGTCAGTTTCTATTTCCACTTCTTCTTCCCAGTTTAAATCAAATTCCCCCTGCTACATTTTTTTTTTTTTTTTTGGCCGTGCCAGGACTCTTGGGATCTTAGTTCCCCAAACAGGGAACTCAACAGTGAACCAGGCCTCAGCAGTAAACGCTAGGCATCCTGAGCACTGAACTGCCAGGGAGTTCCCCAAAGCCCCTTTTAATAAACACCTTTTTAAAAATACCTAAATGATATTTTAAAAATAAGGTATCATTCACATACCATAATTGGAGAAGGAAATGGCAGCCCAATCCAGTGTTCTTGCCTGGACAATTCCATGGAGAGAGGAGCCTGGTGGGCTACAGTCTGTGGGGTCTCAAAAGAATCTGACACGACTAAGCGACTTACACATGCACACACACATACCATAAAATTCACCCTTATGAGGACTTCCCTGGCAGTCTAGTGGTTAAGACTCTGCATGCCCCCTGCAGGGGGCATGGGTTCAATCCCTGGTGGGGGAACTAAGATCCCATGTGCCCCATAATAAGGCCAAAAAAAAAAGATGATGAAGCATTTTTAAAAAGTTTACCCTTATGAAGAGTACTACTCAATGATTTTCAGTAAATTACCCATATGCAGCTATCACCACCACACTGGACATTTTTCATCTCCCCCCAGAAGAGACCCTATATCCACTAGCAGTCACTCCTCATTTCTCTTTCTCCTGGGAACCCCTTATCTAGGTTCTGTCTCTGCTGACTTGCCTGTTTTGGACATTTCATATAAATGGAGACATACACTACGATACCCTTTTGTATCTAGTTTCTCTCACTGAGCATTATCTTTTTGAGGTCCCTCTATGTTGTACAGATAGCATCTGTTGGTACTCTGTTCCCTTACTTTTTTAAAAATTAATTTTTATTGGAGTATTTTGACTTCCCTGGTGGCTCTGTGTAAAGAACCCTCCTGCCAGTGCAGGATGCAAGAGACGAGGGTTCGATTCCCTGGGTTGGGAAGACCCCCTGGAGAAGGAAATGGCAACCCACTCCAGTATTCTTACCTGGAGAATCCTATGGACAGAGGAGCCTGGTGGGCTACAGTCCATGGGGTCACAAAAGAATCAGACATGACTTAGCTACTAAACAATGACAGCAAGTGGACTTTTATTTATTAATACAATTAATAATTAATACATTAATACAGTGTTGTTCATCTCTACTATACAGCAAGATGAGTCAGTTATACATATATCTACTGTTTTTTAGATTCTATTTTCATAGGTCATTACAGAATATTGAGTAGAATTCTTTGTGCTATATAGTAGGTCCTTATTAGTTTTCTCATTCCTTTTTAAAAATTATGGTGAAATACACATAACATAAAAATATACTATTTTAACTGTTTTGAAGTGTGCAGGTCAGTGGCATTAAGTACATTCACAGTGTACAACCATCATCACTGTCTTATTCCAGAACTCTTTCCTCACCCCAAATCGAAACCCCACACCCACTAATAGTCACACCCGTTCCCCTCTCCCCCAGCCTCTGACAACCACTAAACTGCTTCCTGCCAATGGATTTACCCACTGGACATCTTGTATAAGTAAAATAAGTAGAATCATGTTTATAAAAGTAGAACCTTCTGGGACTTCCCTGGTGGTCTCAGGACTCTGTGCTTCCACTAGAGAGGGTGAGGGTTCCATCCCTGGTCACGGAGTTCAGATCTCACAAGCCACAGCTAAAAAAAATATATAAAATCTTCTGCGTGGAATCCTACAGTATTTGTCCTGTGGCTTGCTTATTTCACTGAATATAATGTCCTCAAGGTTCACCCGTGTTGTATCAGAATTTCCTTTTTAAGGCTGAGTCATCCTATCCCACTATGTGCACGGACCACAGGACACTTGGCTTGCTTCCACATTTTAGCTATTGTGAATAAAGCTTCTTTGACCATGGGTATATAGATACCTCTTTGAGATTCTGTTTTCAATGCTTTTGTCTATATACCCAGAAGTGGAACTGCTGGATCATGTGGTAATTCCATTTTTAGTTTTTTGAGGATCACCATAATGCTGTCCATCGTGGCGGCATCATTTTGCTCTCCCACTAATAGCACACAAGGGCTGCAGCTTCTCCACGTTCCCACCATCACTAATTAATATCTGTTCATTTGATAGTAGTCATCACAGTGAGTGTGGGGTATGAGGTGGTATCTCATTGTAGTTTTGACTTGAATTTTCCTAACGAGTTGTGACGTGGAGAGTCTTTCCTTGTACCTGTTAGCCCTTCGAAGGCTGTATTTGTGTGTCTGTGTGTCTGTATGCGGGCTTTTCTCTAGCTGTGGCGAGCGGGGGCTGCTGCTCATTGCAGTGTGCGGGCTTCTCATCGCGCTGGCGTCTCTCGTGGAGCACGGGCTCTAGGACGCAGGGCTGAACAGTTTCGGCTCCCGGGTTCTTGCGCACAGGCTATTGTGGCGCACAGGCTTAGCTGCTCCGTGGCATGTGGGATCTTCCCGGACCAGGGATGGAACCTGTACCTCTTGCATTGGTAGGTGAATTCTTTACCACTGAGCTGCCAGGGAAGTCCTTGGAGGCTATGAATTTTTAAAGACATGCTTTATACCACATTTTCTTTATCCATTCACCCATTCATGGACATTTGGATTTTTTCCATTTATTGGCCATTGTGAATAGTGCTGGTGAAAACATTCATGTACAAGCCTTCTGTGGACATGTGTTTTCCTGTCTCTGGGGTAGAATCATAGGGGTAGTATTGCTGGGTTTTGTAGTAAATTTGTGATTAATTTCTGAAGAGACCTGGGCAAACGCTGAAGGAGGACTGCCTGAGTCCAAGGTCCAGCTTTGCCATTGGCTAATTTTGTGACCTTGGATGACTTTACTTAGCTTCTTCTTGCCCCAGTTTACCCGTCTGTAAAATTGGAATAATACTCCCAACCTCCTGAGACTGGCGATTGCACAAATTCTACAGGTAGCACCTATGAGACTTAAGTCTTCTGTATGCGTCTTCACATGGGTCACCTTTGCAACTCCTTTAGGATAGAAATGACTTCTCATTTTATGGGTCAGGAAACTGAGGCTCACAAGGCCTGTCTGACTACTCAGTTCTGCTCTTGTAGGTTATGAATGGCTATATTCAATACATAAGTGAATGGGTATAGCCATGTGCCAATAAAACTTTATTTACAAAAACCAGGTAGCATGGAATATCATACGGTAAAAGAATGAGGTACTGACATGCAGTGCCATGGGGATGAAACTTGAAGATGTGTTCAGTGAGGGAAACCAGGCACAGAAGGACAGATACCGTCTGATCCCATTCACAAGAGGTCCTTAGAGGAGTCAAATCCACAGAGACAAGTAGATGGTGGGGCCAGGGGCTAAGAGAGGGGAGTCAGTGTTTAAAGGGGACCGATTTTCAGTTTAAGAAGTTGAGAATCTGGAGACAGATGCTGCCAACGGTTGCACAACAATGTAAGTATACTTAATGCCACTGAGCTGTGCATGTAATTATTTAAACGGTAAATTTTATGTGTACTTTACCACAATTTTTTAAAAAAGGAGTGAAGCACTGACACACGCTACTGCATGGATGAACCTTGAAAGTGTCACTGAGTCAAAGAGGCCAGACCCAGAAGGCCACGTGTGATTCCATTTTTTTGTGACGCGTCCTGAACAGGCAGAAATCCACAGAGACAGACAGTGGATTCATGGTTACCGGGGGCCGGTAGGCAAGGCTGCGACAGTCAATGACAAGTTTCTTTTGAGAGCGATCAATAAGTTCTGAAATTAGGCAGTGAGAGTTACACAACCTTGTGAACACACTAAAACCCTCTGAATTGTGCATTTCCAAAATGGTGGGATTCTATGACGTATGAGCTAGAGTTCAATAATGCCGTTAGGGAAAAAAAAAAACAGGCAAGAGAAAAAGCAGGTGGTGGGCTGGCCCTGGGGGTGGGGTGGGGGGGCATAGTTTACTGACGTCAGTTTTAGACCCGAGCTCCAGGAGAGTGGGGTTCTCTTGTCTTGTCACTGCCTGGCTCACTGTGGGTGTCGAGGTCATGTTCAAACAACTGGGCTGCGGGGCCAAGATAGAGGAAGCGCCTGGCGGAACCGGGCACTTCCTGGCTTGTGCAACCAAGTGAGTGCAGAGAGGGGGAGGCGAGCCACGTCCCCGGCCTGAGCCTCCCTGCCCGTAGCCCAGCGTGGTGGACCGCGTGGCCGGCATGCCCCTCGTCAGCTCCACCTGCAACATGGTGTCCGCCGCCTACACGTCCACCAAGGAGAGCCACCCCCACGTCAAGACTGTCTGCGACGCGGCCGAGAAGGGGGTGAAGACCCTCACGGCGGCTGCGGTCAGTGGGGCCCAGCCCATCCTGTCCAAGCTGGAACCCCAGCGTGAGTGAAGCCTGGAAGCCCATGGACCATCCACTCCGGGTGGGGGAGGCGGGGCGGTGTCTGTGGACCCTCCCAGAGCCCCTGAGGAATGTACATGCGCAGTAACCATCAGCTGTCTCTTGCCCCCACCCCCGCAGTCACCTCGGCCAGTGAATACGCCCACAGGGGGCTGGACAAACTGGAAGAGAATCTGCCCATCCTGCAGCAGCCGCCGGAGAAGGTGACTAACCCCCTCCATGAGGGGCGGGGTGGGAAGGATGCTCCACTAAGACTGGGGGCCTACCTGGGTAGGGGGTCTGTGGTCTCAGCTTAACCGTAGCAGACAAATGTGACCACATTTATTCTCCCACCCCCTCCCATTGGGCAGCTGGAGGAACATTCTGAGCGCTAGCCAGGTATGCCCAAACCCCCCTCGGGCCTTCCACCTTGCCCGGAGCAAAAGCCAGAGTGTTCCTGGTGGTTCCACCTGGTCTGGCTCCACTGCCCCCCGACCCTCTACCCCCACCTCACTTGCTCCATTCTGTCCGGGCTGGCCTCCGTGCTCCAGTTCAGTCACATCAGTCCCACATGTACGGGACAGGGTGATGGATACAGAGCCCTTGCCTTCATGCAACTTTCATCTTGGGGAGGCAGGGGAAAGCAGAGACAGTGAACACACCCATCTCAGAGCTGCCTCAGGACCTTTGCACATGCCATTCCTTCTCTGTAGACCAGGCTGCCAAGTCTCTGAACTTTCTCTGCACATGTTCTTTCTCTGCACCATTCAATATGGAAACCAACAACCATATGTGGGTGTTGGGCCCTTAGAAGGTGGCCAGTATGACTGAGTAGCTCAGTTACTAATTTTAATTATTTTAAATTTTATTTTTTATTTACTTTCTTTGGAATTTTTGATGTGGACCATCTTTAAAGTTTTTATTGAATTTGTTAGTCTTGCTTCTGTTTTATGTTTTGTTTTTTTGGCCCCAAGGCATGTAGACAGACTGGATTAGGATCCACTATAATGGCCTCATTTTACCTTAATTACTGCTTTAAAGTTCTCATCACTAAATACAGTCACATTCTGAAGTCCTGGGGGCTTCAGTACCCTTCAGCCCATAACACCATGGGAAGAAGAAGTGGAGGCCCAGAGAGGTCAAGTGACTTGCCTGAGGGCCCACAGCTTGGATATATCAAGCCAAGGACTCTAACTGGGCCATCCAGCCCCAGAGCATGTGATCTTAACTGCTCTCACCATTCAGGGTCACCCAGGAGCTGGAGCTCCTCCCTTCAGCCCACCTAGAGGTTGGGGTGCAGGGGTGGGGGCACCTAGGTACAAAGGGAGAATGGAGATGCTGATGCTGGCCCTTCTTGCAGGTCCTGGCAGACACCAAGGAGTTGGTGTCGTCCAAGGTGTCAGGGGCCCGACAGGCTGTGTCCAGCACAGTGTCCAGTGCCAAGGACACTGTGGCCTCCCGAGTCACCGAGGCAGTGGACATCACCCGGGGTGCCGTGCAGAGCGGCGTAGACTTGACCAAGTCCGTGGTGACCAGCGGCGTCCACTCAGTCGTGGGCTCCCGTGTGGGCCAGATGGTGCTGAGTGGGGTGGACACAGTGCTGGGCAAGTCGGAGGAGTGGGTGGACAACCACCTGCCCATGACGGATGCCGAGCTCGGTGAGTACAGACCTTGACTCTGGGACCCCTCCCCAGACCATCTGATGTGGGTCCCTCTTAGCCAGCTGGAGTCTGCCCCTCACAGCCTGTCGTCTGGTGCCTGCTGCCTCTCCCCATCCGTCTTAACCCGCCTCAATCAGCTTGGTTCCTCTGCCCTGGTGCATGGTATCTGTCCTCCCTGAAGCAGCCTCCAGAGGGCGCCGGCGAGCACTCAAGTCAGGCCCCTCCTCTGCCGGCCGTCCTCCAGGGCTCCCATCTCCCTGTGGGTAACAGCCCCGATCTTCCTGGAAGCTCCCTTGTACTTACCCACCTGCCCTCATTCATTCTGCTCCAGGCTCACTGGCCTCCTTGCCCATCCTTCCCATGTGTTCCCACACCGGGGCCTTTGCACTGGCCTTTTCTTCTACCAGGAACCCTTACACGACATCTAGATGGCTCGTTCCCTTCCACCTCCAGCTTTGTGCTCACATGCCACACCCCCCTCCCCACATCCCCCATAAAAAAATCACACCATTCCTTGCCCATATTGTGTCCTGAAACCTCCCTTGACTTGGCTCTGATTTCTCTCTAGTCATCAATTCCACAAAGCAGAAGCTGTGTCCTCTGTCTGGTGCCCAGCAGGTGCTCAAATCCCCGAATGAAATCACTGAAACTCTTATCTATCATTCTACCCACACCCAGGCATCTATTTGTTCAAACCTTGAGCACCAGTCATATGCCAAACCTGCTTCCATGTTCTAGGGATATGTCAGTGAACAAAGTTCTGCCCTCATAGAACCTAAAGTCTCAAGGGTACAGAAATTAGATTAAAGGAGATGTTTCTGAGGAGGTGACCTTGCCCTGAGGTATATGAAGCTGTGCTGATGTCTGAGCAGAGAGACCAGGGGACAGGGTGGTGCCTGATGTGTGTGGGAGGAGCAGGGAGGAGGCACGTGTGGCTGGAGCAGAGTGAGCCTGGGAGAGAGAGGGAAGAGGGAAGGGCAGGGAGTGTACGGGTGCAGATTGTGGATGGCCTTGTGAGCCATGGGAGGACTTGGGCTTTCTCCCCTAGGGAGATGGGAACCCTGGACCACTGTGAACAGAGGGGGCGGGGCCTGACTCAGTGTTCACAGGCGCCCTCTGGTGGCTGCTATGGGAAAGACACTGGGGGTGGGAAGCAGAGGAGACCCTGATGGTCTAGGTGAGCTGTGGTGGGGCTGGACCAGATGGTGGCAGGAATAAACCAGGGGTGAAAGAACTGAGACGAAGCGGCCAGTCCCACTCGTGGCTTGTGGAGTTGGCCTTGGCCCTGTGCTCGAGGCACTGCCATCCTTTGCACATCATGCCAGGAACTTCCAGTTGTACCAGTGTTGCACACACCAGTGCCCATGGCAACAAGGGTCCCCGAGGGCCACATGTACCCAGACACCACACTCCATCCAGGGGGAGCAGGGCCAATGATCTCAGGCCCTGCAGCTCCTGGGTTGAGGGTCACATGTCACTTGGCCTTTGAGTTTTCAAAACTTTACCCTGCCTCTCTCAAAAGAAGGGATCCGGCTGATGTCTTCCATCTTGCACCCTAAGTTCAGTGCCTGCTGGCTCCTCTTAGTGCTCAGACGGAGTAAGATGCAGCTGTGAGTCTTGGTCAGCAGAAGGCAGGGGAAGACACAGAGTTTGCAGGGAGGCAGGTTGTGAGCCAGGCCTGGGAGCCACTTCAGAGAACAGATCTATCTGACCAGCTTTGATTTTCCATGCTTTCTTTTGTGTCCATCTGCTAAGGATGAACAGCTTCCCTGGTGGCTCAGTGGTAAAGAATTTGCCTGCCAGTGCAGGAGATGTGGGTTGGATCTGTGGGTGGGGAAGATCCCTTGGAGGAAGGAATGGCAACCCGCTCTACTAATCTGGCCTGGGAAATCCCATGGACAAAGGAACCTGGCGGGCTACAGTCCAGGGGATCATAAGGAGTCGGACACGACTTAGTGAATAAACAACAACAACTAAGGACAAAATCACTGTGCAGAGCGGTGCTTAAGGTGCTGGGGAGTCTGTGAGTTAAGGTGCCATGTCATAGCTGGGATGCTACTCATGTGCTCCTGCCAGAATAGCCCTGCTCCCCCCATCTCCTGGGTCTCCCCTTTGCCAAGGGCACCTGCCCCCTCCAGGGGCCCTGCCAGCTTGTTCCCACATGCCTGGACTCTGCCACACAGCTCACTTCAGTTCAGTTGCTCAGTCGTGTCTGACCCTCTGTGACCCCATGGCCTGCTGCACGCCAGGCTTCCCTATCCGTCACCAACTCCCAGAGCTTGCTCAAACTCATGTCCATCAAGTTGGTGATGCCATCCAACCATCTCATCCTCTGTCATCCCCTTCGCCTGCCCTCAATCTTTCGCCACATCAGGTCTTTTCCAATGAATCATATCTCATTGGTCTTTTCCAATGAGTCAGTTGCCAGACAACCTTGACCTAAATAACAAAGCTGCTTTCACTTCCGAGGGCAGAGCTCCAGGGTTCCGAGAGGGCTATGGAGATGTTCTGACCAGTAGCCTGGGTTCAGAATGTTGTTGGTTTGGATTTAGTCTTTGCAGACTTGCCTTTGGTCAGGAGAATGGGGCAGGTTTGTTTTTCCCAAGATGCCAACTTTTGTTTTTGTTGCTTTTAAATGTCCCGGGTGTTTAGTATTTTTGTTCAGTTATTTGTTTGTTTTATACATTGTATAATCCTTTTTTTGAAGTTTAAAAAAATTTTATTGAAATATAGTTGATTTACAATGTTGTGGTAGTTTCAAGTATACAGCAAAGTGATTCCATTTTACATACATACATGAATATATTCTTTTTTAGATTCTTTTCCATTACAGGAAAAGAATATATTACAGGATATTGAGTATAGTTCCCTTTGCTATAGAGTAGGTCCTTGTTAGTTATCTTTCTCATTTAGTTTTTACTTTTATTTATTTAAAAAAAAATTATTTATTTATTTTATTTGGCTGCTCTGGATCTTAGTTGCAGAATGCAGAACAAATATTTGATTTTTGTCGGGGCAGGCAGGATCTTTAGTTGTAGCAGGTGAACTCTTAATTGTGGCATGTGGGATCTAGTTCCCTGACCAGGGATTGAACCTGGGCTCCCTGCATTGGGAGCTTGGAGTCTTAACCACTGGACCACCAGGGGGGTTCCTTTTTTTTTTTTTAATATAACTTTTTTTCAGATTACATTTTCTTGACAGGCCAGGTGGTAAATAATTTGGGCTTTTTTGGGCCATACAGCCTCTGTTCCAACTATGCAACTCTGCTATTGTAGCACAGAAGTGTAGTCAGTAGGTAAATGAATGGGTATAACTGCATGTCAATAAAATTTTGTTCACAAAAGTAGGTGGCATTCGGCCCAGGGGCTGTATTTGCAGACCCTGCTATAGGGCCTTTCAAATTCAGATAAGGTTACTTACAAAACTCAAACTGTAAGAGCTACTATATTAAAGTCTACAGGGAGCAGAATAAGATAGGATCAAACTATCAAGATAGATGGATTTCCATCCTGTTGCCTTGTAACTTTATGGGTATTTTCTGGACTAGACAGTCCTAAGTTTTCCTTAACTACTGTGAAGATGGTTCTCTTGTGGCTCAGACTTCTCCTCCCTTCAAGTATCATGGTTAAGAACATGGGGCCTGGCGTCAAATCTTGACTTGTGGAGCCCCAGCTGTGTGACCTTCGGCAAGTCAATTAATCTCTCTGAGCTCCAGTTTCCCCATCTGTAAAAATGGGATGACAGTGCTTCCCTATTAGAGCTGTTTAGATTTAACAAGAATACATGCGAGGGACTTGACTGGTGGTCCAGTAGTTAATAATCCGGGCTCCCAATGTAGGGGGCACAGGTTGGATTCCTGGTCGGGGAACTAAGATGCCCGAACGCCACACAGCATGGCCAGAAAAAAAAAGACAAAACAGAATGCATGCAGAGAACCTAGAACGTTGCAAAAGATTGACCACTATTAATATATGCTAGGACCTATACAGACAGGATTAGCCAACTTTTTTTGTAAAGGATCAGATAATGAATATATTGTTTAAAATATTTATTTATTTATTTGGTTGTACGGGGTCTTAGTTGCAGCATATGAGATCTTTAGTTGAGGGATGCAAACTCTTGGTTCCAACATGTGGGATCTAGTTCCCTGACCAGGGATCAAATCTAGGCCCCCTGCATTAGGCGCAGAATCTTAGCCACTTAACCAGGAATTCCCAAACAATATTTTAATCTCTGCAGGCTAAGAGGCCATCTACTCTGCCACTATAGTTTGAAAGCAGCTGTAGACAGCGTATAACGAACATGTGCAATTGTATTCACGGGTTGGATCATATAAAACTGGAGGCAGGGCAGATACAGTCCAAGGGTCATAGTGTTCAGACCCTCACATTAGTCTAAGGCCTCTTAATCCCAGGATATTTGGCCCCCATCCTACCCATTTCACAGATGAGGAAAAAGCCAAGGGAGGGAGATCCTTTTACGCTTGCGGACCGGGGCATAAACTGCCTTCACCATGCTTCTCCTGCCTCCCCATTGCAGCCCGCCTCTCCACGTCCCTTGAGGGTTTTGACATCGCCTCGGTGGCCCAGCAGCGCCAGGAACAGAGCTACTTCGTGCGTCTGGGCTCCCTGTCGGAGAGGCTGCGCCAGCGGGCCTATGAACACTCTCTGGGCAAGCTGCAGAACACCAGGCAGAGGGCACAGGAGGCCCTGCACCAGCTGACACAGACGCTTACCCTGGTGAGGTCCCTGGTGAGAGGGTTCGATAGGGAGGGCCGTGGCAAGCAGCATATGCACCAGTGAGTCCACCGCACGCCTGGTGGCTTGTTCCTCCCCATTCTGCATATCTGCTTGGGCTGACTCATGCAGTTGCAGTCCTGGTTGAGTTTGCTGGGGCTGCTGTAACCAAGTACCCCAAACTGGGCAGCTTAAACAACACACATTTATTGCCTCACAGTTCTAGGGGCTGAGAGTTCAAGATCAAGATGTCAGTAGGGCTGGTTCTTTCTGAGGCTTCTTTCCTTGGTGTGTAGATGCTGTCTTCTCACTGTGTCCTCACCTGGTCATTCCTCCATGCGACTGTGTCCTAACATCCCCCTTTAAAAAAAAATTCATTCATTCATTTATTTTCTTTTTGGCCATGCTGTGCGTCATGCAGAATCTTAGTTCCCTCCCTGACCAGGAATTGAACCTGTGCCCACTGCAGTGGAACCTCAGAGTCTATTAATTAATAGACCACCAGGGAAGTCCACCTAATAGCCCCTTTTTATTTAAGGACACCAGTCATATAAAAACATTGTTGTTCAGTTGCTAAGTCATGTCCGACTCTTTGTAACCCCGTGGACTATAGCACACCAGGCTTCCCTGTCCTTCACTGTCTCCCAGAGTTTGCTCAGATTCATGTCCATTGAGTTGATGATGCCATGCATCATCATCCATCATCCATCATGCCATCTCATCCTCTGTGACCTCAACCTTTCCCAGTGTTAAGGTCTTTTCCATTGAGTCGACTCTTCACATCAGGTGGCCAAAGTATCGGAGCTTCAGTATCAGCATCAGTCCTTCCAATGAATATTCAGGGTTGATTTCTTTTAAGATTGACTGGTTTGATCTCCTTGCAGTCCAAGGGACTCTCAAGAGTCTTCTGCAACACATTTCAAAGGCATCAGTTCTTCAGCACTCAGCCTTTTTTATGGTTCATCTCTTACATCTACATGACTACTGGAAAAACTGTAGCTTTGACTATATAGACCTTTGTTGGCAAAGTGATGCCTCTGCTTTTTAATATGCTGTTTAGGTTTGTTATAGCTTTTCTTCCAAGGAGCAAGCATCTTTTAGGTCCACCCTAATGACCTCATTTTAGCTTAATCACTTCTTTGAAGACCTGTCTTCAAATGCAGTCACATCCTAAGGTCCTAGGGTTCAGGGCTCCAACCCCCTGGGCTTCCTGTGGATTCCTGCTTCTCCCAGCATTCCTGTGGATCCCCAGGGACTCTGCCAGCTTCATTCAATCCCTGAGGCAGCCACCGTCTGTCTTCCTCTGCCCCAGATGGAAACCGTCAAGCAGGGCATCGATCAGAAGCTGATGGAAGGTCAGGAGAAACTACACCAGATGTGGCTTGGCTGGAACCAGAAGCGGCTGCAGGGCCCGGAGGAGGACACGGCCAAGCCAGAGGTACCCACCTGGGGTGGCACTGGGTGCCTGGGGCCCTGGCTCCCCTCTCCACACGCTTTCCCCTGCTCCTCCTCCCGTTAACTGCCTTCAGGACCTGATGACCACTCCTCCAGGATGCCTGCCTGGATTTCTACTCTTGGGTGCACGTATTGCTTCTGAACCACAGGGCACTGGATTGGGATGGGCCTCTACCTGCTGACTTCTAAGCCATGCTCCATTTTCTTGAGTCCTGACTCCCTGGGCATCCTAGGTGACTCAGTGATGAAAGAATCTGCCTGCCAATGCAGGAGGTGCAGGAGACACCGGTTCAATCCCTGGGTCGGGAAGATCCCCAGGAGGAATGGCAATCCACTCCAGTATGGTTGCCTGGAAAATCCCACGAACAGAGAAGCTTGGCCGACTACAGTCCATAGGGTCACAGAGTCAGACACGACTGAGTGACTGATTCCTCTCCCCCATCAAAGTGTCCCATCACATCCTTCATATTTACCCGCCAGACTCCTCGTGACTGCTTCTCACTAACACGCTCTGGCCCCTCTAGTCCATTGCAAGCACTGGTCTCTTGAATGAGCCCTGACTTTTGCCACCTGTGCTATCACTCATCCAAGCTTTCACTGAATTGCTGCCTTAAACAATTCTCATGCCTCATTCTGAACCATAGCCTGTCTGTGTTAGGGACTCTTTTAATATCCTAGCATTGTTGGTTCTCAGCCTAACCTTGCTGGGCCTCAGTCTCCTCATCTGTGAATGGGGTGCAGGACCATCTGCAGGGTCATTAAGGTGAAATGAACATATGTGTTTACAGCAGTATTTGAGTCACAACAGCCCCAAAGTGGAACAGCCCAGATGTCCATCAGCAGATGATGTATCACAAAATGTGGTCCTTCCACACACGGGAGCATCACTCAGCTGTGAAAAGGAGGGAAGCCCGACACTCACTAACACATGGACGGACCCTGAGAACACAATGCTCAGTGAGAGAAGCAGACACAGAAGGACATACGGGGTGTGATTCCACTGATGGGAAACGTCCAGAACAGGCTGATCTGTTGACACAGACAGTGGATGAGTGGTTGTTGGGAGCTGGGAGAGGGGTAAGTGGGGAGGGAGTTTCTTGTTCTTTCCTTTTTTTTTTTTTTTTGATCAAGCCAGGAGGCTTATGAGATCTTAGTTCCCTGACCAGGGTTCAAACTTGTGCCCCTGGCAGTGAGAGCTCAGAGTCCTAACCACTGGACCGCCAAGGAATTCCCTCTTTTTTTGGAGTTTCTTTTGGGGTGATGGAATGTTCTGAAATTAGATAGAAGGGCTGGTTGCACTACCTGGTGAATGTACTATATATAAAAAAAAAAAAAATCACTGAATTGTTCACTTAAAAGCATGAGTTTCCTGGTATGTGAGTTATTTTACATACACACTCACACACATTGACACATAAGGCACATAGTGTTAAAAAAAATTGTATTTCTAAAGATATGGAAAACTTTGCACATTCAGATCCTAACCACTTAAAACCATCTCCCCCAATCCCCCAACTGCTGAAGAAAAGATAGATATTGATCCTGGCAGCACCTCCTGGCCAGGTTCAAAGCCAGAGTTCTCAGCTGACCAGGCTCAGGACAGTCTAGGGTCCCTGCCTGCTTTGATTTCCTCCCCAGACTCAGAAATTTTCAAGGACTCTTATCTCAACCGTAGTGTCCCCCACTGCTTACAACTTCTGCCTCAAAAGTTCTTCTAGACCTTCTCATTTAAAAACAAACAAACAAACAAACAAACACTTTTTCAAAAACAAATTTAGTAAGGTATAAAATTCAGGATCTTGTACTTTAAACACATTTGAGGGAATTCGCTGGCGGTCCAGTGTGTTAAGGACTCAGAACTTACACTGCCGTGGCCCCAGTTCAGTCCCTGGCTCCAGAAACTAAGATCCCACATGCTGTGTGGTGAGACCAACATTAAATAAATAAAGAAGTTTTGAGAGAGAATTCACATCCTGTACAACTGACCCATTTAAAGTGTACAATTTAGTGGTTTTTAGTATATTCATGGGTTGTGTGACTATCAACTGTGTTAATAATTCAGAGCATTCCCATCACCCCAAGAGGAGACCGTCTCCCCAGTATCATAACACCCCGCTTCTGTCTTCCTCCATGCCCTGGAACCGGCAAATGTACTTTCTGTGGATATTTCATACCAGTGGAATCATACACCATGTGGTGTATGACTGCTCTCACTGAGCATCGTGTCCTTAAGGTCCATCCACGTGGCAGCAAGTGTCAGGGCTTCACCCGTTTATTTGGCGGGAGAACGTCACGGTGTGTGAATGAATCACATTTTGTGTCCCCGTTTGCCAGCAGATGGGCATTTGCGTTGTTTCCGCTTTTGGCGGCTGTGAATAACACCCCTTTGAGCATTTGTGTACGAGTCTTGGCACAGACGTGCACTCTCTTTCCTCTTGGGCGGAAGTCTAGGGGGTGGAATCGCTGAGTCAAGTGCTTATTTAGGCTTACACTTTACTATTTTGAGGAACTGTCAGACCGTCTCCCAAAGTGACTGCTGCGCTCCAATATATGAGGGTTCCAATTTCTTCCCATCCTCGCCAGCACCTGTTTGATCTTTTATTTATTTTTATTTTTTTTCAAATTTATTGGGCTGTTCTGGGCCTTAGTTGTGGCACTCAGGATCTTGAGTTTTAACATTCAGGGTCTAGTTCCCTGACCAGGAATGGAACACGGACCCCATGCATTAGCAGCATGGACCACCAGGGAAATCCCATATATATCTTCTTTTAAAACAAATTTTTTTTTTTTTTTTGGCTGTGCTGGGTGTGTGTTGTTGCACGGACTTTCCCTAGTTGCAGCAAGTGGGACCTACTCTTTGTTTCGGTGCACGGGCTTCCTTCTGCAGTGGCTTCTTTTGTTGCGGAGCACAGGCTCGGGTGCATGGGCTTAGTTGCCCCAAGGTATGTGGGAACCTTCCCAGACCAGGGATCGAACTGGTGTCCCCTGCTTTGGCAGGCAGGTTCTTAACCACTGGACCACCAGGGAAGCCCCCATATCTGCCTTTTTTGACCCAAATCATCCTAGTGTGGGTGACTTGTGTCTCATTGTGGGTTTGAACTACACTTCCCTGATGTCTAATGAGGTTGAACATCTCTTCATGTGCTTATTGGTCTGCGTATCTTCTTTGAAAATATCTCTGTGCCTGTTTTTCAATTTGACCAGCAATTATCTGGCACGGTTTGAAACTCAGAGCGCCGGTATTCTGAGCCTCCGTGCCCTGGGGAAAGGGTTTCCCCAAGGTGGGTGGAATATCCCCATTTCCTCTTTCCTGGTCTTTGGGTCCTGTTGTTGTTCAGTCGTGTCAAAAGTCGTGTCTGACTCTTTGCCCCGCTGTGGACTGTTGCCTTCCAGGCTCCTCTGTCCATGGGATTTTCTCAGGCAAGAATACTGGAGTGGGTTGCCATTTCCTTCTCCAGGGGATCTTCCCGACCCAGGAATCGAACCCACATCTCCTGCATTGGCAGGTGGATTCTTTACCGCTGAGCCACCCTGGAAGCCCCTTGAATCCTGTTACCCCCCCAAAGCAAAGGGTCTTGACGTCACGCCCCCACCCTGCCCCTTCTCAGCAGGTCGAGTCCCAGACACTTGCCATGTTCCGTGACATCACCCAGCAGCTCCAGACCACCTGTGCCTCCCTGGGCTCCAGCCTCCAGGGTCTGCCTGCCCACATCAAGGACCAGGCGCTACAGGCTCGCCAGCAGGTCGAGGACCTCCAAGCCACCTTCTCTGGCATCCACTCCTTCCAGGATCTGTCCAGCAGCGTCCTGACGCGGAGCCACGAGCAGGTGGCCAGGGCCCGAGAGGCCCTGGACCACTTGGTGGAGTATGTGGCCCAGAACACACCCATCACGTGGCTGGTGGGCCCCTTCGCCCCCGGAATCGTTGAGAAAGCCCCAGAAAAGAAGAAATAGGAGAGGCTGGAGGAGGACTCAGAGGGCTCTGGCCTTCTCCGAGGGGCCGGCGAGTGACCGGGGACCCCTCACTGGGAACACACCTCAGGAAGCTGAGGTCCTCAAATCTGACCCGTCCCTCATCCTCTCCAAGCTTGGAGGAAGCGTGTCCTGAGCGTCACATCCATCATCAGGACAAGATTTCCAGGAAAAGAAATTTTTTTTTTCTAGAAGGTTCCAATTTTTTTTTTCTTCCTTAAAAACCAGGAATATAGTTCTTACATCCCACACCCTTTTTCTACATTGAGTCCCCTGGTTATCAGCCTTAAGCTAGTGGACTTGGACCACTGGGAGGTGGGCTTCTTAGGGGGGAAGTGGGGGCAGGGCAGCTGACACTCAGTCTGGAGCAGGAGGGGCTCAGGCCTGCGCAGTGAGCCCCGGGTGCGGGAGGCTTCAGTGTTGCCTTAGTAAATTTTACCTGCAAAGTCCAGGCCTCGTATATTGTGTGTGTATGTGTGTGGTTTTTTTTTTAATTTTTCAGCAGCTGAACAACTCTGGAGTCTCTGTATGGCCTTCTTGGGCTGCGGAGGGGTCTTTCATCTCCCCGCCACTGACCTGCCAGAGTCTTGCCCCCTTTGTCACATCCCAGGCAGCCAGCGGAAGGGAGAAGCCTACCTCTTTTCCTGTACTGGGCCTTCCCAGGTGTGTGGGGGAACCGTGTGACCCCCAAAAGATGCTGATGACCTGATTTCTCACATGGCAAAGGAGACTTTGCAGATGGGATTCAATTAACACATTACTGACCAGACATATTAATGTGTCTTTTTTCACCTGAACGTCATTGACTGGAGACGTTATCAGTACGTTTTTAGAGAATGATACTATTATTATCAGGCTTCCCTGGTGGCTTCCCAGGTGGTAAAGAATCCACCTGCCAATGCAGGGGACATGGGTTTGATCCCTAGGTCTGGAAGATCCCCTGGAGAACGGAATGGCAAGCCACTCCAGTGTTCTTGCCCGGAGAATCTCCTGGACAGAGGAGCCTGGCGGGCTACAGTCCCTGGGGCTGTAAAGAGTCAGATACGACTAAGCAACTCACACACACACTATATATATATATATACATATAGATATATATATAAAAAAGACTCCAGACTTCTGACCTCTAGAACTGTCAGATGATAACATGCGTGGTTTCCAGCCGCTGTGTTTGTGGCCATTTATTACAGCAGACTCAGGAAACTTGTCCTGGCTTTGAGGAATTCAAGGTTGCTAGTTTGGGATTTCCAAAATTTCTGTGTCCATTTCTGGGACTGGCCATGTTCCCACTGCTGTGCTAATGTTTGCTTACAGAGAAAACACAGCAACCAAATTCTCTACCCACTCTGGCCCAGGGCCATTCCATATGCTTCACATACAAACCGTTTTGGTCTTGTGCTTCATTTCATTTCATTTATTTTTTCAGGCTGTGCCGTGTGGCACGCGGGATCTTAGTTCCCCTTCCAGGGCTTGAACTCGGGCACCCTGCTTTGGGGGTGTGGCATCTTGACCACTGGACTGCCAAGAAAGTCTCTGGTATTGAGCTTTACACAATACCAGGTGGAGCACGCGGTAGGGAAGGGTCCGCCTTCCGTCAACCATGTTGGTGATGGCAGGGCTTTGTGCTCATTCTATTTATGACATGCTCCTAAGGCCTCGGCGTCCTGTGCTGGGCTGGCCATGCTGGACTCCAGCTTGGTGATGAGACATGGGTCCACTGGCCAGCTCCTTGGTCCCTGCTGTGTGACCCTGGGTGGGGTCTTTTGCCTCTCTAGCCCTCAGTTTCATTGATAACCGGCTCAGTGCAGTTCTGTGCAAAGATTCCGTGGAGTGGTGTACTTAAAGATCCTAAGGTCAGGACCTCCCTGGTGGTCCAGTGTTTCAGACCTTCATCTTGCAACCCTGGAGGTGCAGGTTCGATCCCTGGTTGAGGAGCTAAGATCCCACGTGCCTTGTGGCCAAAAAAAGCCGAAACAGAAAACAGAAGCATTGTTGTAGCAAATTCAATAAAGACTTATTTGATTCACATCAGGGGCTTCCCTGGTGGCTCAGTGGTAAAGAATCTGCCTGCCAATGCAGGAGCCATGGGTTCGATCCCTGATCCAGGAAGATCCCACGTGCTGGGGAGCAGCTAAGTCCATGTGCCACAACTGCTGAGCCTGTGCTCTGGAGCCCTCGAGCTGCAACTACTGAAGCCCAGACACCCTAGAGCCCATGCTCTGCAACAAGGAGGAGCTCGCGCGCCGCAACTACAGATAGCCCCTGCTCACCACAAAGAGAGAAAAGCCTGAGCAGCAAAGGAGACCCAGTGCAGCCAAAAATCAATAAATAAAATTACATTAATAAAACAATATTTCATTGTGTATTTGAAAGTTGCTGAGAGTCAGTCTCATCACAAGAAAAGAAAAATGTTTATGTGAGGTGATAGATGTTACCTAGACATATTGTGGACATATTGTGGTCTTTTCACAATATATTGTTAATATATTGTGTGTTAGCCACTCAGTCTTGTCCAACTCTTTGTGACCCCATGAACTGTAGCCCGCCAGGCTCCTCTGTTCATGGAATTCTCCAGGCAAAAATACTGAAGTGGGTAGCCATTTCTTTCTCCAGGGTATCTTCCCGACCCTGGGATCAAACCTGGGTCTCTGGCACTTCAGGCAGATTCGCTACCATCTGATCCACCAGGGAAGCCCAGTATATACATACATCAAATCGTTATGTTGTACGCCTAAACTTAATGCTGTGTTGTATGTCAATTATTTTTCAAAAATAAAAAAACAAAAGATTAAACATTTTGGGGTAGTAGTAAGAAAAAGGACACATAAAAATAAATTCAAAATTAGATGCCATGGAAAATTTGCCTGTCAACTCTTAGAAATGAATACTTGCTGTGTGTCAGGCAGTGTGGTAAAATGATTTAGAGTAAAAGTCTGCAAACCATCCTGAGGGCCAATACTATCCAAAGAATTTGTCTGTTGGCATGACTCACAAGCTAAGAATCTGTACATTTTTAAAGCAAAATTACACAACAGTGACCTCCTGTATACTGCAAAACTGAAGACTTACTACCTAACCCTTTACAGGAATAGCTTGCCAACCTGCTTGAGACCACCATACTGGCCTTCTTCCTGTTCCATCTTACTGCTTAGACTTAACTGTTTCTCCCAGTACTTAAAGATGGGAATAAGAATGAATTACTGATATTCACAAGGACATGGTTGAAACTCACAGGCATGATGCTGAGGGAAAGAAGGCAGATGCAAATGCACCCACAAACTGGTTCTCTTTTGATGAAGTTTCAAAATCAAAACTAAAGCTATGATGAGAGAAACCAGGCGGGTGGTTGTCCTGTGGGTAGGGACAAAGAAGGGGACCTCGGAGACTTGTAGCGGTTGGAATCACCTCTAATATATCTCAGTAAGGAAGTTGGTTACAGGGAGTGTGTGAAATACGAAGGGCTTCCCTGGTGGCTCAGATGGTAAAGAATCTGGCTGCAAATGTAGAAGAACCCAGATTTTATCTCTGGGTCGGAAAGAGTGTGTACATGCCCCCAAACCCACTGAGCTGTCCCTTTAAGCTTTATAGACTTCAGTGCTTATGAATTACACGTCAATACAAATTAAGAAAGAGAAAGTGGCATGGTGGTGGAGATGTGGGAAGTAAGCCCTCCGCTTCACTTCCTGGGGGAGCGCAAACAGGGCTACTCTTTTGGACAAAAAAAAAAATCTCTGGCAGTGTTTAGTAAGAGTGGGAGTATTTCTTCTCCATGTCTGAAAAGATCCAGAAGTTCCTGTTCTTTGCAGTTACCCTAGAAACTCTTAGAAACCCTTTCAATGAAGTCACCTAGTCCTTTTTTTTTTTTTTTTTTTTGACTCCAGTTCAGTTCAGTTCAGTCGCTCAGTTGTGTCCAGCTCTTTGCGACCCCATGGACTGCAGCATTGCCAGGCTTCCTTGTCCATCACCAACTCCTGGAGTTTACCCAAACTCATGTCCATTGAGTCGGTGATGCCATCCAACCATATCATCCTCTGTCATCCCCTTCTCCTCCCGCCTTCAATATTTCCCAGCATCAGGGTCTTTTCAAATGAGTCAGCTCTTCACATTAGGTGGCCAAAGTATTGGAGTTTTAGCTTCAACATCAGTCCTTCCAATGAACACTCAGGACTGATCTCCTTTAGGATGGACTGGTTGGATCTCCTTGCAGTCCAAGGGACTCTCAAGAGACTTCTCCAACACCACAGTTCAAGAGCATCAATTCTTAGGTGCTCAGCTTTCTTTATAGTCCAATTCCCACATCCATACATGACCACTGGAAAAACCATAGCCTTGACTAGATGGAATTTTGTTGGCAAAGTAATGTCTCTGCTTTTTAATATGCTATCTAGGTTGGTCACAGCTTTTCTTCCAAGTGATTTTGGAGCCCAGAAAAATAAAGTCTGACACTGTTTCCACTGTTTCCCCATCTATTTGCCATGAAGTGATGGGACCAGATGCCTTGATCTTAGTTTTCTGAATGTTGAGCTTTAAGCCAACTTTTTTACTCTCCTCTTTCACTTTCATCAAGAGTCTCTTCAGTTCTTCTTCACTTTCTGCCATAAGGGTGGTGTCATCTGCATATCTGAGGTTATTGATATTTCTCCCAGCAATCTTGATTCCAGCTTGTGCTTCATCCAGCCCAGTGTTTCTCATGATCTACTCTGCATATAAGTTAAATAAGCAGGGTGACAATATACAGCCTTGACATACTCCTTTCCCAATTTGGAACCAGTCTGTTGTTCCATGTCCAATTCTAACTGTTGCTTCCTGACCTGCATACAGATTTCTCAAGAGGCAGGTCAGGTGGTCTAGTATTCCCATCTTTTTCAGGATTCTCCACAGTTTGTTGTGATCCACACGGTCAGACGTTTTGACATAATCAATAAAGCAGAAATAGATGTTTTTCTGGAACTTGCTTGCTTTTTTGATGATACAACAGATGGCAATTTGATCTCTGGTTCCCCTGACTTTTCTAAAACCAGGTTGAACATCTGGAATTTCATGGTATTGTTGAAGCCTTGGAGAATTTTGAGCATTACTTTACTAGCATGTGAGATGAGTGCAATTGTGCGGTAGTTTGAGCATTCTTTGGCATTGCCTTTCTTTGGGATTGGAATGAAAACTGACCTTTTCCAGTCCTGTGACCACTGCTGAGTTTTCCAAATTTGCTGGCGTATTGAGTGCAACACTTTCACAGCATCATCTTTTAGGATTTGAAAGAGCTCAACTCTTTTGGCCCTGACCAGAGATCAAACCTGTGCCCCCTTGTGGTGGGAGCATGGAACCACTGGACCCTCAGGGAAGCCTGTCACCTAATCCTTTCATCAATCCAATGAAGCAGGTGCTGTTACCATGGCTATGCTACAAGGGAAGGAAACTGAGGCATGGCTCAGAGGACTCACCCATGGCTGCATCTCATAGCTGGTAAGTATCAGAATAAGGATTTGAACCCAGCACTCACTCAGACTCCCCCTCCACCTCCCCTGCTCTGTGTTCATAACCATAAGGTGTCCCTGTCTGTTTGGGGGGAATATTGGCAGCAACCAGCTTGTCCAATAACAGCTGCTGCTGTCGTGCTCAGTCATGTCTGACTCTTTGCGACCCGATGGCCTGGAGCCCTCCAGGCTCCTCTGTAAATGAGGTTCTCCAGGCAAGGGTACTGGGCTAGATACTGGGTTGCCATTTCCTTCTCTAGGGAACTTCCCTACCTAAGGATGAAACCCGCATTTCCTGCATTGGCAGGCAGAATCTTTACCACTGAGCCACCTCGGAAAGCCCTGAATAATGACAGGGGCCTCAACAAACTCTGATACAGCAATGCTTAATGAGACCACAAGACACTTTAAAAGAACAAAGTTTGGGGACTTCCCTTGTAGTCCAGTGGTTAGGTATCCATGTTTCTACTGCAGGGGGAATGATTTTGATCCCTGGTCAGGGAGCTAGGTTTCCCCAAGCTGCATGGTTTGGCCAAAATAAAAAAGTCTGGGTTACATATACTGGCTTAGAAAAATGTTGGAGACATAGTCACCAGTGCCTGTGTGCCAAGTTGCCTCAGTTGTGTCCGACTCTTTGCAACCCTATGGACCACAATCGGCCAGGCTCCTCTGTCCAGTAGATTCTCCAGGCAAGAATACTGCAGTGGGTTGTCATTTCCCACTCCAGGGTATCTTCCTGACCCAGGAATCAAATCCAAGTCTCCTGCCTCTCCTACTTTGGTAGGTGGGTTCTTTCAACCAGCTCCACCTGGGAAGCCCATAGTCACCCAGAATAAAGCGAAATATTGACACCATCGATGTCCAGGGTCAGCAAACTACTATCACTGTCCAGCCCACTGACTGGTTTTGTAAATAAAGTTTTATTGACACACAGCCACACTCATTTATTGACATATCACCTGTGACTGCTTTGGGGTTACAAGGAATGGCAGCATCAGATAGTTGTAATAAAGACACTATGGGCCGTAAGACAGACAGTATTTTACTCTCTGGTCCTTCACAGGAAAAACTTTGCTGACTTCTGGCCAATTTGGATAAACAGCAAAGCCAGACCAAAGTGAGTTGAAGACTGAGTGACTGAACAACAATAAACCAGCAGGAACGGTTGTTTTAAGACATGAATCAGATGACCACCAAGATGTGTTTGGTGTGGGAACAGCCACGTAATGGATGCTCCAAAAAGTGGGTGTGGGGGTGTGGGGAGAGGTGTGGGAAGATGGGTTTGATGCCTTCTCCCTGTCCAGCTCGGGAGGCCCCAAGAGCATGGACCATTTCTCCCCCGCCCACCCCAAGGTGTCCCCAGAGCCTAGACATGCTTAGCACACAGTATGGGTTCAATAAAATTTCTCCCTCTCAGGAGACTAGGAATAAGTGAGGCATTGTGGGGGTCGGGGGGCAGGCCGACAGAGTGGGACTTAGCATCTAGATAATTTCATCTCTCTCCCAAGAACCTTTCAGTGAACTTTGGCCTGGAATCCATGCACTGCTTGGGAGATCTAATGATGAAATTCAGGGTGTCCAATGTATCAGTCAGGGGGGAAAATCTCATATCTTTATTCTCAGTGACTCTAACTGATATTTACCATTTCCTCAATTATGAATGAAGTTCTTGTGGCTTTGTCTCAAGTAGAAAACCACAGGCATTTTTGCATCAGGTCACATTGCCCCAGGTGGCTCAAAATACAGTTGACCCTTGTTACTATTGAGAAATCACTGGAGTGATGAGATCTTGTTAATGTGGTGATACACACAGAGGTGGAACCTTAAGTTCTGTTTGTTTGCTTGGGTATTGCTCTATTTCAGAAGTCTTTTTGAAGTTATTGTTTTGCAAGTGTTTGAAAGCAATTTTTTATTGTGGTGAAATATAGTAAACATGAAACTTATCTTTTAGCCTTTTTTCTTTTCCCTTTGGTTTTTTTTTTGTTTTGCTGGCACCATGTAACATGTGGGATCTTAGTTCCTAGCCTGGGGATCAAAGCCACACCCCCTCCAGTGGAAGCAAGGAGTCTTAACCACTGGACTGCCACCTTTTAACCATTTTTAAGTGCAAAGCTCAGTGACAATAAGTACTTTCACTTTGTTGTGAAACCATCCCCAGCATCCATCTCCTGGACTTTCTCATCTTCCCAAATTGAAACTCTGTCCCCACGAAACACTGACTCCCCATCTCCCTGCTGGTGGCACCTACTACCTACTTTCTGTTTCTATGAATCTGACCCCCCTAGGGACCCTGAGTGGAATCACACAATATTCATCCTTCCCTCTCTAGTTGATCTCACTGAGCACAATATCTTCAAGGTTCATTCACATCGTTGTAGCCTGTGTCAGAATTTCCTTCCTTTTTAAGGTTGAATAACACCTCATTGTGTGGGTAGACCCCATTTTGTTTATCCATTCATTCAAGGATGAATCACTAAGCTGTATTTTTTAAAAAGTATTTTAATAAATATGTTTCATATATATGGCTGAGTCCCTTTGCTGTCCACCTGAAACTATCATAACATAGTTAATCCACTATACTCCATATAAAATAGAAAGTTAAAAAAATATATTCCAACATCATGGACTTTGTTGTAACCTCCTGTATGGATCTGATGAATCTAACAAATGGTACTTTTAAAATCGAAGTGTTGTTGCTCAGTCACCAAGTTGTGTCTGACTCTTTGAGACCCCATGGATTGTGGCACACCAGGCTTCCCTGTCCTTCGCTATCTCCTGGAGTTTGCTCAGACTCATGTCCATCGAGTCGGTGATGCTGTCTAACCATCTCATCCTCTGTTGTCCCCTTCTCCTCCTGCCCTCAGTCTTTCCCAGCATCAGGGTCTTTTCCAATGAGTCGACTCTTCGCATCGGTGGTCCAAGTATTGGAGCTTCAGCTTTAGCATCAGTCCTTCCAATGAGTATTCAGAGTTGATTTCCTTTAAGATGGACTGGTTTGATCTCCTTGCTGTCCAAGAGACTCAAATTGAAGTATAGTTGATTTACAATGTTGTGTTAGCTTCAGGTGTATAGCATATTGAAAAAAATACATATATTTTTCAGATTCTCTTCCATTATAGGTTATTACAGGATATTGAACATAATTCCCTGTGCTCTACAGTAGAACCATATTAACTGGTTGGGAAGATCCCCTCGAGGGCAAGGCAACCCACTCCAGCATTTCTGCCTGGAGAATCCCATGGACAGAAGAGCCTGGTGGGCTATAGTTGGCAGGCTACAGTCCATAGGTTCAAACAATCGGACACAACTGAAGTGACTTAGCACTCATGAACCTATCTATTAATCCTAATTCCTGATTAACCCCATCCACACCCCTTTTCCTTTGGGTAACCAAAAGTTTGTTTTTAATAACAAATGGTATTTTGATGAGAGATTCCAGGTGACAAAGGGGCCCAGTAGAAGGTATTATTTATGGCTTTTGTAGGCACCTTCCTCCATTTAAAAAAAATTACATTTTACAACTTTGTTGGTTTAAAGACACATGTAATCTAAGCTAGATTATATTCATTTTTTTCTCTTTCTGATTTTAAAAGAAATTAAAACATTTTCACGGGTCCCTCTGAGCACGGTGGGCTCTGAGCACTGTGGTTTAACTGTGCCAGATAGATATGTAAGTCCTGCATCTAGGACCTTCCAAAAGGTTAGTACCCCTGTGAATTTAAATTTATATGTATTTTTTATTACTTTTTTTGTTGTTTGTTTTTGGTTACAAGCTTTAGTTAGTTCTGCTCCTGGTGAATTTTAAAACTTCACATTTGCCTTGCACATTCCCTGGTGGTCCTCTGGTTCCGACTCATTGACAGGTTCAAGATCCCGCTGGGTGACTCGGCCAAAAAAAAAACACACACACACACACACACACACACACACACATATACATACATGCTATCATGCTGTCTGTCCCTCTTCCAACCACAAAAGCGTCCCAAACCCCTCCAGGGTGGCCATGATTCCCACCCTCACCCCCGCCCCTAATTATCCCATCCCTTTTGTTCATTTCCTGGAAAACTTTAATTACCCATTGAGATGCACTACATTGTTCTTTCTCACTAGACTGTGGGTCCCCGCGGACAGGGTTTTTGTCCCTGTGGAGCCCCGTGGTGGTCTCCCGCGCCCGGGCCCCCCAGAGGTCCCCAAACGCGGTCTACGTGGCAGCCGGCGGGGCAGAGAACTTCGCTGGGGCGCCTCAGGGACTTTCCCGGTCCCGCCGGGAAAGCGTGATCTCACCCGGTTCCTCCCTCCTCGCCGGACGCGGAAGGGGCGGGCGGCGGCCGTGCGCCTGGGGCTACAGGCGGGCGCCACCAGGCCGTCCGGCCACCAACCTCCGCCCCGAGGACGCGAGCGGTGTGGCCGGTTGCCCCCGCGACCCCAGGTAGGTGAGGAGGGGGCGAGGGCCTGGGGGGACCGGAGACCCCCGCAGGCCTGCAGGGGTAGGGGGCCTGGCACCCCGCAACCCTCGCCACGGGTCAAGGCCAGCTGCCCCCACTGGGAACTTCGGACGTCCTTGCGATGCATGTTCAGGTCGCCCGCCCCAACGCTGCAGCTCCCCTCCCTGGCCCAAGTCCTCATCCTCCCTCCTCTTCCTCAACAGCCGGAGTCCTCCCCAGCGGGCTCTGTTTCCCTCCCAATACCCCTTTCCTCCTCCTCCAAACGGGGCGCTCTCTCTGCCCCAGCCCGGGTTCCTCCTCCCCCGTGATCGCCACTCCCACTGCCCTCTCCTCCAGGGCACTGAATCCCCACTTTTCCCAAGGGCTTCGGCGACCCCTTCCCCCTTCCCACGGCACAGCGCACTTCTTTCAGTGGGTCTCATCCATCAGATTGGTTCCATCCCATTCAGAATGAATCCGGGAATGATCAGCTCCTCATTCCCTAGACCTTCCCGTGGGGTATGGGGGTCGTTGGTACTGGCTCAGGATTGGATCCAGGTCAGCTCAGTTGTGGCTGCTGGCACCACTCAGGGCCTGGCTGGCCCCAGACCTTCTTCCTGGCAACTGGACTCCTACCCTCTCCTTGTGGCTGAGCAGGGGTTTGGGGGAGGGGCACCCCCTGTGACCTGGGCAGGCTGAGGTGTGGGTTCCAGAGTTTGGGGGAAGACTGGTGGAAGCCCCAGGCTCCAGAGCCTGCCCCGGCTTCTGTGTCCTCCTCTGAATTAGGGCCATTCATTCATCCTTCAACAAACATTTATGGAGCACCTGCTGTGTGCCAGTAGACACTGTTCAGTACTTTGGGCACACAGTAGGGGCCAAATAGTGTCCTCATGGAACCACAGTGGGCAGAAACTGTGACCCGTGTGTGTGCTAAGTGCAGAGGGCAGGTATCTGATCCCTTCTTTAGTGGACAGGCTTGATAATTCTTCAGATCCAGGCGTGGGAAGGGGACTGCACATAGTAGGTGCTCAGTGAATAAAGGGGGCTTTATTCTGATGGCTCAGATGGTAAAGCATCAGCCTGCAATGCAGGAGATGCGGGTTCGATCCCTGGATCCAGAAGTTCCCCTGGAGAAGGGAATGGCGGCAATCCACTCCAGTATTCTTGCCTGGAGAATCCCATGGACAGAGGAGTCTGGTGGGCTACAGTCCACGGGGTCACAAAGGTTGGATAGGACTTAGCAACTAACGCCCGCAGTGAATAAAGGCAAGGACCCTGTAGCCAGGCTGTCTGGTTTAAATTCCCGCCTCTTTACTTTCTACCTGTGTGATCCTGGGCAAGTCACTCAGCCTCTCTGTGCCTCCCTTTACCCCTGGTTAACAGGCTGTTTTTGAAGGAGTCTTAACTCACAGGGTTGGCTTTTGCTTTGCAGAATGCCTGGCATCTAGCAGGTGCTCAAGAAACACTTATTGAATAAATGCCCCTTGAGTCTCCTACACATTTTCCAGAGATAGTCTGGTTATGTTTTAACTTTCATATCTCTTGGGAACTTTAAAAAAAAAATTCTTTCCTTAAAAAAATATTTATTTGACTGTACCAGCTCTTAGTTGAGGCAGCCAGGATGTTGGGTCTTGGTGGCAGCATGCAGGATCTTTAGTTGCAGCAAGCAAAAATCCTGGTTGCTGCGTGTGGAATCCAGTTCCCTGACAAGGGATCGAACCCGGGCTCCCTGCATTGGGAGTGCATAGTCCTAGCCACTGGACCACCAAGGAATGCTTTATTATATTGTTACTCTAAACTCTCACACGTGACAAGGGCCACTTTCCTGCTGGTTTTACACACAAGGAAACTGAGGCTGAAAAACAGGCTCCTACAAGCTGGCAGATGGCAGAAGAGCCAGGTTCCCCACTCCTGTGGCTGCTCCCCGGCCGCCCAGGCGCCCACCGTCAAGTGTGAGGTGGGCTTTGCCCTGGAGGCCATGGAAAGTAGGGCAGCAGGAAAGCCAGGTTTCCTGAAGGCTGGGGTGACTGCTGGGCAGGGCATATTGAGTGGATGGGGAACATGCTGGGGGAGACAGTATCTAGGGAGGGGGCACTGAGTCTGGGCTCAGGCTGGCAGACAGGGGGATGGAGAAGAAACAGGGTGTGATTTTAGGCAATTTGCCGGGAGGGCAAGCAGGAGTGGTCGTGCCTGACTGGTTCTCAACCTGGCTGTGCTGTGTGCTTTTGCAAAAACGCAGCCCTGAGCCTCTGCTGCGGGGGCCTCTAGCTCGGGGGCCTCAGCTGGGGCGGGGGGCCAGGGTGGGGCAATCATCATGCACTTGAAGGCTCGTGGAGCAGTCAGGATGTGCTAGGCATTGGTCTGTACCATTTCTACATGGATTAGACCTACGGCAGCCCTCGTAGGAAGGGCTTATCTTTGTACCCAACCCACAGAGGTGGAGACTGAAGCACTGACATGTATATGATCAGTCCAAGATCATAACCTGGAGCAATACAGCTGAGATCTGAGCCCCAAGGGCACACTCTCTCTGACTGCTCTCTGTTGCCCTGGAGGTGACTCATTTCAGAAAGGTGTCCTGTAAAAGGGGACAGCCTTTGGCTCCGAGACGAGCGCAGCCAGCACGGTCTTGCTGACCATCCGAATTCCAAGAGAACCCAAAATATCTGAGTTTCACACACAATCTTCTCTGTTCAATGTTGGCAGCTATTTCAGATTGACTTCTCACACTGTTGCTGGTGTAGTCGGGAGTTGGTAAGTTTCATTTTTCCTTTTTAGCATTAATTTTAAGATTTTTTTTAATGTGGACCATTTTAAAAGTCTATTGACTGTGTTACAACATGGCTTCTGTTTCACATCTTGGTCTTTTGGCCATGAGGTTATGTGGGATCTTAGCTCCCAAACCGAGATCGAACCTGTACACCCTTCATTGGAAAGTGAAGTCTTAACCACTGGACCACCAGGGAGGTCCCTCCTTTTAACATTTTATAGACATAGAACCTGAATTCAGAATAGGACACAGATCCTAAGTCCTGAACTTGAATTTTCGGAGTGAACACTGCATGAAATAGAACTTAATATCCAGCCCGCATCGTGTCCCATCCTTCACACTATATCAGCTGTTGCCCTTTATCAATTAAAAATTTGAGGGTGCCTGTCAACACGTGTCTGATTTTTTTTATCTTTTTTAAAATTAATTTTTATTGGAGTGTAGTTGATTTACAATGTTGTGTTAGTTTACGGTGTACCAGAAAGTGAGTCAATTCTACATATACATATATCCACTCTTTTTCTTTTTTTTAAGCTTCTGTCCTTGTATACATCATTACAGAGTACTGAATAGAGTCCCCTGTGATTTTTTTGCTTTTTAAGTTACTACACACATAGCTGTTTCTAGGAGCCACTGAGAGGTGGAAAGAAAGTTGATCCAAGGGTCAAAACTTCAAGTGATTTTGATATTTCAATAAGTTTTGGCTGACTTGTGGTCCCATCTGAAAGTGAGATTGTTGTCCTTTTTAATCCTGTTTTGTTGATGATGGTGAGCTCACATCAGAGGTAGGAGAAAGGATACACTTTGCCTTTTTCTTACTGCTCACTTGTGCCTGCATTATGGCGACTTGTCTGTCTTCCACTTTCCTCCAGGACTACTCTGGCCATGAGCTCATTTCACGGGCTATTTTAATGATAACTAGATAAGTCTGTTTCTCAGGCCATGTAACCAGGTCCATGGAAGCTGGAATCTCTGGTGATACGCTTTGGAGACCACAGGGTTAATGGGTTTAGATTCAGGCAGCCTGGCTTCCAGTCCACCTGTGTTCCTTACATACCTTTTCTCATACTAATTCTCGCCCCCCCCCCCAACATTTATTATTTATTTATTTGGCTGCACTGGGTCTTAGGACATTAGTTCCTCACCAGGGACCAAACCTGGGCCCCCTGCATTGGGAGCACAGAGTTTTGACCACTGAACCACCACGGAAGTCCCATTCTTGTACTAATTCTTCAAGATCTACTATGTATTTTTTCAGGTCTCGATTCAAACTCTCTTTTTTACATATATGTATATAGTTTAAGTGAAATCTGAGCCTACTGAAACAAAGTTGGGTTTAACGGGGTGAAATTTTTTCTTTTTTCACACTGCCCAACTTTTCCATTTTAATGAATTAAAATTGAATAAAATGTAGTATTTACTTTCTCCCCAGCAACTTGTAGCCACATTTCCAGTGCTCAGTAGCCACACAGAGCTGGGACTGCCATCACAAAGTCCCTCAGGTGTGGGGCTTAAACACCAGAAATTTATACTCTCATGGTCTGGAAGCTGGAAGTCCCAGATGAAGGTGTAGGCAGGGCTAGTTCCCCCTGAGGCCTCTCTCCTTGGCTTGCAAATGGCTGTCTTCTCTCTCCGTGTCCTCAAGAGATCCTCTGTTCTCAAGGGTGTTTGTGTCCTAATCCCATTTTATAAGGACACCAGTCTTATCGGATTGGGCTTCCCAAGTGGCTCAGTGGTAAAGAATCCACCTGCAATGCAAGAGATGCAAGAGACCTAGGTTTGATTCCTGGGTGGGAATCATTTTAACTTGATTACCTCTCTAAAGTTCCCATCTCCACTGTAGTAACGTCTTGAGGTCCTAGGGGTTAGAGTTTTAACATCTAAACTGGGGGAGGGGGACCCAATTCAATTAATGACAGCCAGTTAGGATTCCCTGGTGGTCTAGTGGTTAAGCTCTCTGCTTCCAATGCAGGGAGCAAGGATTCAGTGCTTGGTCAGGAAACTAAGATTCTGAATGCTGCATGGCACGGCCAAAACAAACCAAAAAAACCCCAACCAGTTACGCTCCATGATAATTATATGGGCTAGTGTGTGTTTCAGTCATATTCAGCTCTTTTCGATCCTATGGACTATAGCCCACCAGGCTCCTCTGTCCATAGGATTCTCCAGGCAAGAATACTGGAGTGGGTTGTCATTTCCTTCTCCAGGGGATCTTTCTGACCCAGGGAATGAACCCGCGTCTCTTATGCCTCCGGCGTTGACAGGCAGGTTCTTTATCACTAGCACCACCTGGGAAGCCCACATGGGCTCCAGTGACAGGCATTTTGGTTTTAGGATTGGAAACACTAATGTCATAGCACTGTTCTGCCCATCCCTAA